GCTTGCCTTGCATGCGGCTGACCCAGGATTCACTCCCAGAACCAAGTGTGGTCTCCAGAACATTATTGTCAGGAGTAATACTAAGCACAGAGCCAGGAGTAAATTCTGAGCACCTCCACATGTGGCAAAAAGGGGGGAACACCAGACATTATCAAATGCACTTTACCATGGTTAAGAACCAATTCGCATACTAGAAAAAAATATGAACAAGGATGGATAAAACCCTAAGATAGCATTTTACTGAAGCTACTTTATGAACAGCTATAAAGCATGTTAAATATACTAACCAAGAAGGTCATGTGTGGGGCCGAGCGATAATACACTGAGTAAGCCTTGCATGCAGTCGACCTGGGTTCAATCCCCGGCATCCCACATAGTCCCCCGATCACCGCCAGGAGTAATTCCTGAGTGCACAGCCAGGAATAACCCTGAGAAATGCTGGGTGTGACCCCCCCCAAAAAAGAAGGCTACCCTTCAAACTTTTTAAAAGAGATGGTTATAGAGAAATAATCTTATAAAAATTCAAAATGAACACTGCTCTTTTAAAGATTCACATTAATCTCAAACATTAAAAAAATGCCCTATGTTATTTTCCATGTGAGATTGAATATTTATACCTGTAACATGTCAACAGAAAACTGCAAGTTCATCTATAATGCAAATGCTGAACCAGCAAAAGAAAACTATAGCTTTAAGGATACTTTGCAGTCTGGAAGTAAAAATACTAAAAGTTGTTACTAGTGAAAATAAAATCTAGGGCTGCAGACACAGTAGAGAGATAAAAATGCTTCCCATGCACACGGCAGACTAGGGGTCCATCCCTGGCACCACATATAGCCCCCCACCCCAAGCACCACCAGGAAATGAGCCCTGAGCATAGCTGGGTTAGGTCCAAAACCAAGAAAATAAAATATTTTTAAGGAAATCTTTCAATTCAAAATTTAGAAGTATCTTTTTTTTCTTTGTACATGATAATATTTAAGTCACAAAAGATAAAAACAGTTGCAAAAGTGATACTTTTAACATTTTATAGACAGATGCCAAAATTTCAAGAATTAACTCAGAATGTTTAATTTCCATAATCTGATTGAAATAAGTTTTGTTTTCTTTCTCAGAGCTTGGTTTTTTTTTTTTCTACTACACAGCATGAGAGAAAGTCAGCAAAACTACTTAAAGGTAACTTGTAAACTTCTTTCCTTCAGAATTAGTTAAAAAAAAATTGTTCCCTTACTTTTCGGTTTCAGCAAAATGGAAAATATGTTCAGAGTTACTTTCCTAAATTTTTCCACTTAATACTATCTTCATCTTAAAAATTCCCCCCAAACAAAAATTTCAACGCACTTTTCATCTGAGTTCTATGGGAAGTTTGCTGAACAAAAGGTTTTCTACTTTGTGAATTCTTGACTGTTCCCAATAGGCTGACCTTGTGGCTAAGCTGAAAATTCTTATGCATAACTTTGCACTTCGAGTCATTCAGAATGCATTCTTAGAAGTCGATTTACTAGTTCAAAGAGTTAAAGCATTTAATATATTGCTTTCCATAAAATTTATAAAATGTATACTTTCCAGCATTTTGACAAAATGCCAATTCACAGCATATTTTAAAATGATTGACCTTTATGGGGGAGAAAAATCAATTAAAATATTAAAAAAAACATTTCATTGCCTTGTTTCACTTAATTTTTTTCCTTCTTAGACAACTGATCCTGGTTCCGTGCTCCAAAATCACTCCTGGGGTGACCAGGAGACCACACACAGGGTTCGGGCTACTCCTGGCTAGCGGGTCGGACATCTCCCAGGCCCTGGATTCACTTACACTCAAAAAAAAATCAACATTTTTCATGTCTTCTACTAAAATCTGCTTGATCTTTTGTCCATTTTTCAAGTGCAGAGATTTTTTTAATATCAACTTCTATAACTCAATATAAAAATCACATTACCCTTGTTAACATCTAGAAGTTCTTGATTTTTATGCTATCCGACCAAGCAATCTTTTCCCTTTGTGATTTCCCCTATATTTATGCTTAGACAATCCCACCTTATTGTAACAGAGCTATTTATATATTATCTTTAGTTCCTCTGTTTCACTTTGACATCTATATTTTAAAAACACCTGGAATTTATTTTTGGTGTAGCAGAAGACTGATGATTTAAGATCTGGTAGCATAAGAGTTCATTAATCATTACTTCCCAAAACTTCCACCTTATTTTTCCAGATACTTTTAAAAATCATTTTACCAGAAATCCCTCCCCCCAACTGAAAAGTCCTCACCTAGACTCTCACTGAGAATGCATGCAGGGCTGGAAAGACAGATCAACCGGGCTCCCAAGGCCGGGCTTTGCCCCTGGGAAACCCAGGCTGGATCCCATCACCACCAGGTCTCCTGAGGGCAGAGCCGGAAGTAGCCTGAGGACAACATCTGGCAACAGTCCACTGCCAACAATTTTGAAAATGAAACTAAATTATCAATAAAAACCCATAAAAATATGTTTATGAATGCTGAATACTTAAGACTACTAGACACCCTTATCTTGAACCTTTTATAAAAATATTTGCAATAATCTTACTTATTTGCCAATAAGTGGGCATATTTTAAATAGGATTTTTTTTTTATATTGGAGAATTTGCTTTACATTTTTATTACTAAATTTTTTTTTCTATGCCAGGGATTGAACCCAGGACTTCACGCACACAAGGCAAGTACTTTATCACTGAGAAATATCTCTGGCCCCAATTTATTAAAATTTTTTATTGGGTATAAATTTTTTCATTTCTTCAAACACTTCTGTAATATCTTTGAGACTACCAAAGTTACTACGTTTTATCGTCTCTTTTTTTTTTCTTTTTTGCTTTTTGGGTCACACCTGGCGATGCACAGGGGTTACTCCTGGCTCTGCACTCAGGAGTTACTCCTGGCGATTCTCAGGGGACCATATGGGATGCTGGGAATCGAACCCGGGTCGGCCGCATGCAAGGCAAACACCCTACCCTTGTGCTATCTCTCCAAGCCACTACGCTTTATCTTCTGAGACCTAAATCATAACAAGTTTTATCACTAGTTATTCACTCATTCAGCCCTAGTCATACATAAGCCCTACTTACACTTTGTTCTTCAATATGTTGCAATTTTTTCTTTATTCTTCAATAAACAATGTTTACTTTATTCTGCAATATGCACTATTATTGAATATGTTGATGATCTGGGTATGTTTGTGCTTAAATTGAGAGTCTTACATATAAGTATTTCTTTCTGGAAAAATGTGGTTGCGGGGAACCCAGCAGTACTCAGGGATCACTCCTAGTGCAGGACACAGGGGCCCTATGGGGTGCCACAAATCAAACCCAGGTCCTTCGTGTGCAAGGCAAATACCCTACCCTATCCCTGCCCCAGTCTGGAACAGTTTTGAAGAGAATTTGTAATATAATTATAAAATTTCAATGCATACAATGGTTAGATTTTCAACTTAGTTCGTTTGCTTATTTCCTGAACATTTATTTAGAGACTTCCAAATCTCAGTTTTAATTTCAAAATCTCTGTATTTATAGGCTATCTCTATTTTCTTCTTCGGTTGGGGGGCAGAGCCACACCCGACAGTGCTCGGGGACACTCAGAGCGATGGAACCAGTGTCAGCCACATGCAACCGGTACCACGTGGCCTGCTATTCATGTCTTGTAACTTAGCATAGTTATGGTTTCCATTTTTTCTTCTGTCATCTATCTTAAACACTAGTTTCTTTATCTCCTGTCTACCCGGTTCTCCAAGAATCAGTGATTTATCAAATCTCCTTTTAGGTTTGGAGTCAAATTTATTTCCACATACTTACAGAATGAACCTTAATCTCTTTTGAGCTTTGCTGTACCATTAATTAACCCAGATTGTAATGTGTCCATTTCTATTGAGTCATAACAATACCCTGAAATTTTAGAACCAGACATCTTTAGAACTTAAAATGCTGTTTGATAATGTTTCAGAAGACAAACAAGAAAGCTGGATCCACTCTTAGAAAATTCAAAATCTGCATTTTTCCCCCCAGAAGATACCACTCTCATGTTTTATATGATTAGTCTCAGCACTACATGAGCCAAACACTTCAAAATAAATTATGTTAGAGAAAAGAAATAAAATGGAATGAAGAAACAAGTTGAATGTTGGAAACAATTTTGTTGAAAACAATGCAAAGATAAATGATTTAACTTTACTGAAATTAGGCAAAAATGCACTTCAGAGAATCACTCTTTGTCTTTCAGGATGATAATCTAATTGTGGAAAACTCAATAGTCATAAACAGTTGTTCACGCATTCTTGTCATTTGTCCACATTTTTTAATACATTAGATTTCCTGGTATACAGTGACTATAATTTATAATTTGATTCCATTTTCCTATTTAATTCTATTTTAGAAGAGTTATCCAATCATCTCCTGCACAGTCCCCTGTGAAATACATATACGCCTTCCTGTGAGAGTATGTTCTTGAATGTTCATTTTCCATGTCAGCAGGGAGGGGCCACTTTTCTAAAGTAGTGTCTTGAGTATTCACTCCTGTGGCTTACCCAAGCCCATAATGGTGAGATTAGTCAATAGGTGATCTTATTTATCTTTGTTTTTTGTTTGAAGGCCACATGCAGCCATGCTCAGGCCTTACTCCTGGCTCTGTACTCAGGAATCCCTCTTAGGAGTGCTTGGGGTACCACTGGGCTTGACAGGGATGGAACCTGGGTTGGCCAAGTGCAAGGCCAATGCCCTACTCACCATACTCTCTCCAATCCCAAGTGATCATATCTGTAAATGGGGACATTGCTATATAACACAGAATCCCTCTTCCACTTATACTTCTCCTTTAGACATTTACATTTCCTCCCAACGACCACAGAGTACATGTATTCACTAACCCTTGCACGGGTTAGACAATTCTTAGGGAAGACGACTAGAATCCTCCCGAGGAGATCCCCAAATTCCAATTGTCAAACATGTGAGCCGTCAACAGGGAGCAGCTTACCTGCTTTCCATCCAGCGTGCAGAGCCTCTTGACCACACCTGAGTCGAGTTTAATGGCTTCGGTGATGTCGGTTAAGACCTGTTCAAAGGAATGAGCAGTCTTCTTATTGAGAAGGATCCGCACGGCCTTCCTGGGCTTCACCCCGCTGCGGATCACAGTCACTAACTTGGGCTTGATGAAATCTTTGCTCTCCTTCACTTCTGCCTTCACAGCAGGAGCAGCACCCCAGGTTCGGCTGGCTGCACCCTTGATGTTCACAGACCAGTTGGGGTTAATATTTTTGGTGTAGTCCACTTTACGGAACGGTTCGTTGGAGGCGCACACGTAACTCTCGCCTGAAAAGCAAAAAGCACGTTTATTACTGTGATCACCTCCTACCCGAATGTTGCAGGGACACCAAGTCCCCCTACCTCCATCTTCCACTCCTCTAGGGCCATAACTGGTTGAGGACACACAGGAAAGCACTGGGGGAAGATCCCAGAGACCCGGACTTGGTCACATGTGTCGCCCGGGAGAACTGCGCTCTCTCCTCTGGGCTTCCGGGGAAACTGGTGAGCAGGATGAGCTCTCAGGACTTCCTACTTCTGGAAAGTGTATGAATTACTTTTTTGAATGGTGTTCTGGGAGAAATCACTGCATCACCAAATAATGCATTCATAGAAAGAAATGAAACTATTTCTCTCCTCCTTCCAATGACAGAGTGCAGTCCTAATTAAAGAGTGATCACCAGTCCACACCTCGCTAAATTGCAATCAGTTTGAGGTTCATTTGCTCAGTTAATGAATCACTGCATGAACACAGGAAGAGGGCCTGAGCAATAGTAGAACAGGTAGGGCGCTTGCCTAGATGCAGCTGACCCAGGTTCTATACCCTGGGGTTCTATCCCTGGCATCCCACATGGTCCCCTGAGGCCACCAGGACTGATCTCTGGGCACAAAGCCAGGAGTAAATGCTGAGTACTGTTAGGTGTGGCCCTAAAACAAAACAAAAACTCAGGAAGAACCTGACAACTCAAAGAGATAACCCTCAGGCAGTTTTTTTTCTTTCTGCTTGAGAATGTCAACGATAGGTCAGGGAGGTGGTACCAAGGACACGGAGCAGGTGCTTTGGAAGTCTGGGTTCATTCCCTGGCACTGCATGGCCTCCTGAACACCATGGGAAGCAACTTTCCAGCCCCCGAATTTAAAAGAATGTGAATTTTATTTTTCTTTTCTGGCCATGCCCAGCAGTGTTCGGGGTATACTCCTGGCTCTGTGCTTATGCGATGCCAGGGATCGAACCCAGATTGGCTACATGCAAGGCAAATGCCTTATTCTCTGTACTCTCTGGGTCAACAACATGAATTTTAAATGATTAAAGACCAGAGATACAGCTCAAAGGTCGAGTGTGTGCCTCAAATGAGGCCACGTGCCCTAAAAATAATTAAGGGGATAAAAAGATACAGCCAGATGTTGTTCCAAATGAAAAAATAAGTAAATAATCAAACAAACTTTTGTTTATCTACTTAAAACATGAAAGGATATTAAGTAGTCGAAATGATATTTTCATTATTCACTTGTCCTTCTGCTTAATTTTTATTTTAAAATATTTGTAGGGGCCCAATGGATAGTACAGCAGGTATGAGGTGCTTGCCTTGCACGTGGCTGACGCGGGTTCAATCTCTGGCAATATTCAATATGGACCCTCAAGCCCCACCAGAAGTGATCCCTGAGCAAAACCGTATCTTTTGTATTATTATTTGGTATGGATCCTCCAAATGGCCCTCAAGTGATTCTCTAACAACCTCAGTGAGGCTCTCTGCTCAGTCCTGCGGGGGTGGGGATTACGGCAGCTGCCAGGGTTTGAGCCCTTCCAGGCAACATTCGGTGGTTCTGAATGGCCACTCCAGGACTGACCCAGTGATGCTCAGGATCCTGTGTGCAGACTGTGCTGGGGATCAAACCCAGGCAGCAACATGCAGGACAGGTGGCCCAAGGTTTGGACTGTCTCTCCATCCCCTCCATCCCCCCAAAAAGGGAGTACTTTTTTCCATATCATTATCATTATCTGTCACTGTCCTCCCATTGTTCATCGATTTTGCCGACCCGAGTCGATTCCTCTGCCCCTCTCGGAGAGTCCAGCAAGCTACTGAGAGTATCTCGCCTGCACAGCAAAGCCTGGCAAGCTCCCCATGACGTATTCAATATGCCAAAACACAGTAACAACAAAGTCTCACAATGGAGACATTACTGGGCCCGCTAGAACAAATCGATGAACAATGGGAGGACAGTGCAGTGCTACTAGTGCTATCATTATCATTATTATTATTATTGAATCAGCAAGCTACATTTCAGAAACACAATGATCCAACCCCTATCCCTCCACCAGTGTCCACCTTCCTCCACCACTGTCTCCAATTCTCCTCCCATCCCAAGCCTGCCTCTATGGCAGGTGTTTTCCTGTCCCCCACCCCCACCCCCACCGTCCTAGTGTCCCTTCCATACCTTATCCCCGCCCCAGTGCCAAGCTTCCTACTGGAGGCCAGTTCTCCTGCTCTTCGCTTCTCTTGCTTTGGGGCATTTGCTATTCCCCTACAAAGTCTCCTTATATCCTACAAATGAGAGAAATGTGTCTGTCCCTCTTTTACTGACTAACTTTACTCAACACGATACTCTCCAGATCCACCCACACAGCAGCAAAAAAAAAAAAAGATTTTATCTTTTCTAATGGCCAAGTAGTATTTCACTATATACAAGGACCATCCTGTTTAGTTTTTAATAAGTAAAACAAAAACAGTATTCTATTGTTAATTGGTTTATGGATTCGATGCCATCAATTCTGTCATAGAATCATCTTAAGATAATTTTTCATAATATGTTGGAAAGGTGGGACAACAGCTGAATCCCACAAAGACAATGTTTATGAGAAACAGTCTTGTTCCTGACGTTCCATTCACTCTCAACGGAACAAACATCTCTGAATGCAACAGTTATGTGTACCTAGGTCGAGAAGTCAACATGACAAATGACCTGGCACCCGAGTTGCACAGGAGGAAGAGAGCGGCTTGGAACGCCTTCAAGAGCGTCGAAGAAATAGCTAAGAGGACAAAGAACCTCTGGCTCTGGGCACATCTCTTCGATTCCACTGTTCTTCCTGCATTAACATACACCTCAGAGACCTGGGCCCTACACAAACAGGATGAGAATGCTATTCGGGTCTCCCAAAGAGGAATTGAAAGAGCTATGCTTGGAGTATCACGTTTCACAAGAAAGAAAGAAAGAAAGAAAGAAAGAAAGAAAGAAAGAAAGAAAGAAAGGAAGGAAGGAAGGAAGGAAGGAAGGAAGGAAGGATCCAGAGTTCCGATCTCCATCAACGCTCAAGAATCTGGGACGCTGTCTCGTTTGCCAAGGCATCAAAAATCAGATGGGCTGGACACGTAATGAGATTTGGAGATGAGCGCTGGACTAGAGTCATTACCAACTGGATTCCACGGGATGTCAAAAGATCGCGTGGCCGCCCACCTATGAGATGGTCAGACTTCTTCATCAAGACCCTGAACGTCTGAGGCTCTTCGTGTTTCTAGAACGAGCAGACGACACTGGGCTGCACCAGCACGCAACAGGGACGAATGGAGATGTTGCTGGCGCCTGCTCGAGCAAATCGATGAGTAATGGGATGTCAAGTGATCAATATGTTAAAAATCATAATTTTTCTTTCAGGACACTCAAAAGTCTCAAATTTTTGGTAAATAAGGTAAGAGGATTACACTAGATTTTTCTTCTAAAATATTTTCTAACTTGTAGAACAGCCCCATATTTTTTCACACATTCAGTACAATAGTCATTCTTAAGATACTAATTATATTATGCAAGCCTTAAATGCTTAGGATACAGTGAAGGGGAATTCCTAAGGAAAACCTATTAAATATATTTCATGATAAATCAGGCTGTTTTTAAAATACTCATTTATGGAGAACTGACTCCCAAAGGGTTATGAACATTCGGATCAGGTATACAGAAGGGTCTAAGAAGAAGAGTAATGCCTTATTTAAAGTTATCATTATAAATACATAAATAAAGTTACATAATTAGGCCAATCCCCAAGAAAACTAGGGATCCAGAGGTTTAAATGTTGCTTCTACACCAAGTAATGAGAAACCTGACCCAACCACCAGCACTTGGATAAACAGCTGAAAAATCTCAAACTCATCTTTCACAGTGTAATCATCTTGGGAAATGGCATATAATACCCAAAACAGCTTCAATCTTAACAAAACAGATATATATATATATTACACATGAGTATGATTTAATTATATTGATAAAGAAATTTTCATATAGAAAATTTCACTATTTTACATATAAAAATATACTTGTGTGTTCTGTTCTGATCCAAAATATTAAGATGATAGGAAAGAACAGGAATCTAACAAGACATTTTTTGGGGAGGGGATGGGGTGTTCTGAGGCCACACATGACGGACAGGGACAATTCTTCGCTTGATGCATGAGGGTGACTCTTGGCAATGCCTCAGGAAGTATATGGTGCCCGACACTTGAATGAAGTGCAAGTGTGCCTCCCCCACCCCCCCCACCATCATCTCTTCAGCACCAAGAGAAGCCTTTTTGTATAGGGGCCATATCCACAGAACTTCTGATCCTGGGCCCACTCCATGGCGTAAGGGAATCAAATTCTGGGACTCTTCACCACTGGAGTCCTATCTCTGCTGCAAGAATGATTTTTGTTTTGTTTCATTTGGGGGCCTCACCCTGCAGTACTTAGTGTTTATTCCTGCCTCTGACATCAGGGATCACTCCTTGCGGGACTTGGAGTATTGGGGACCGAGCTTGAGTCGGCCTACCTAGACTATCACTCTGGCCACTGGCAGTGATTTTTTTTTTAAACTGGGGGAAAAGAAAATCAGTTCATTGAAATGAAGTCCTTTTGGGAGAAAAGACAATAGTAAAATAAAGAGCGAATTTAATGTATTAACTATCCTTAGATATCCTTGATCGTTCCAGTTCATGTTCCACTGACACATCAGCCAAGGAAATTGCCTTTTAAATTTACTTGTACTTGCCCCTGTTTATGGATTAAGAATGTCAGAAAGAAAATAAGCAAAGGAAACCTCTATTTCCATCGGTCTTCCTGTGGTTAGAGATACATTTTAATTTCCTCTCTTTTCCTTTCCCGCCCTTGCACTTTCCCATAGAAGATACACAGATGGCGGACAGGCACAGGGAAAGACGTTCATCACCTCTTACTGCGAGGGAAATGCAAACCAAAACCACAGTGAGCTGGAACCTCGGACAGCCTGACTCGTCTCACAAAGACAAAACGGTAAGTGCTGGCAGGGA